CGCAAAGTTCGCATCGATTCCAAATGTCTTCACTGGACGCCCAAGGATTGGTCCAAACGCGGCAAATGGTGACCACTTTTTGTTATTATTTATATTTATTTATTTGTTATTTATATTGATTGCCATTCAATCCATTGATCCGTATGTTTAATGTTTACATTCATTGACTACTTTTTAGATCCAAATAAATGCATGATTTTTAATACCAATTATTGGCTATTAATGTATTGGAAAATATTAGTCACTCATTGATTGATTGAATGAATATTTCGATCTCGAACTCAAATGAAGACCATTTCCATCTCATTTCGATTTCGATTCACATTCAATTGTTTCTACACTTAATTTAAGGTGAATGTGATTTACACACAAATCGTAATAACACTTCATTCATACGCTGTATATGTTTTGTGATCATATCGTCAATCAAAGTAATACTCAAACACATTAATTGACACAATTTGAGTATTCATTCATTTGATTGATTTCTGAACAATGAAACTAAAGTCTATTGAGTCTCACGTATTGTTCACATGGAGTCCGACTGAAATGCATCTTCATCTCCATCCACATCTCATTTGACAACAAAAACACTTTCATTACTAAAACATTCATTTAAATTCAAATTTGTCTATATTTCAAATCAATTCACTTTCACTTGTTTTATATATCCATACAATTGTAACTAAATATCTGTTGAATTCGGTATTAATTGTAATATAAATATTAAATAAAATGTTAGTATTTGTTATAAAATGATTCCACACTTAATTCACACGAAAGTAATTAATGAATTAAATATATATTTAATTTGAATAATAAACGAAACGATGGTTTAATGAGTTAACAAATCAATTAGTTATGAGAATATCGGATGATTTAGTTGTCTTGAGTTGGGAACAGATGGTCGGTATGTCATCGATATTATAGATGACGCGAACAATTAGCGAACACGACGGACATCGGGCCACGTCTTCGCCGTTCTCGAGGTCTTCCTGTGGACACAAAAATGGATTCATTGGTGAGATATAAGACATTGAATGAATGGATGTCTAACTCTAGTGATGGTGAAAGTGTCACCACAAGGACAGGGATAGCTGAATGTGTCCGTCTCCTCGTCATACGCGAAGTCCTCGATCTCCACCTCGTCGTGATAGACGCCGTCCTCCACGTCCTCCACCTCTTCCACACCCTCTGGCTGTGGTGAGAGAAGACGCCTTCAGTAAGTTACTTACAGATTACTTACCATTTGTATTGTTCTCTAGTGAACTACACTTTTGCGTAAGTTCAGAAGTGTGCGAAATGTTTTTGCTATGTTTGTAATGTGAAATGTGTTCACAAATAACGTTACGTTCAATAGAAAGGCGGGAATCGAGAAAATTGTGCTGAAAGTGAGAATTTGAACAAAACTTTTAATTAATAAGTGTTGCAAAAAAGTATAACTTTTTATTGCAATAAAAGTTTTATAAATTGTTAATCAATTTCTAAATATGAGAATAAATGTCAAATATAACGAAATGTATTAACATTTACTTTATTTGTAGTATAAATATAAGCCTTTTTGTCGATTCTGTCTCTCATTGATTAAAATTAATTCAATTAATATTTCAAAAGGGTTTCAATATTTGGAATAAGTTTTAAATATTATTTATATTCAAACTATTAAGCATTTTAAATGCATTTAAATGGAAATTTTGCGGCCATGTGTGACCGCATAGTATAATATACAACATATTATGTTGCTGGTGCCAACATAACCAAGGTCATGGCCATTTGACCACAACCTAGATTCATCCCTTCTCTGACTCGTAAGCAGTGAATTGTATTGTTTTGAGTAATTCTTGACATTTTTAGCCGTAGACTCTAATGTTGAAGTCATTTATGACATTAAACGTAAGCATTGAATCAACGCATGAAATAAACTTTCATTTTATGATTTTCATATCAATTGTTATGAAATACAATGAATGAGTTTTAACATTAGATTCAACGACTAAGAAATATTTAAAAGAATATAATTCATATGTAGACAAATTCAATTTGACCATGGGCTATTGATTGCTCATTATTGCGTGAATATTTCATATTTTATAGATTAAATACAAGGGATGTACTGATATTATATTGTAATACAGTATTACTACCGGTAATACTATTTATCTATTTACTGAACTTTTATTATTAAAAGTTTTTATTTGTTAAGACGAGAAGACAAGTGCACATTTGCAACGTTGATACAAACATATCAAATAATTGGTGACAATTGTTGCCAATAAGTCTGCGTTAAGCACATAAATCAATGCAAACTTTATAATACAATTAATATTTATTACTGAATATCAAAATGAAATGCATTTCAAATGGTAGGAAAATAATTTCAGTATTACTATATTTAGAAACCAATACTAAAAGTGTGGAGACATTCAATTGAGGCACCAAAGAGTGGATTTGGGTTCAAAAATAGGGTCAATATGTGTATTGAATCCGAAAATCAGAGCATAATCTGCAAAATAAGTGACAATCATTGTATTGAGTAAAAGTTTGTGAAAGCTTTGAATGCTTTCAATTTCACGGTATATTTAATGAATGATGTGATTGAGAGTGAAAAGCGCTTATTCTTTGGAAAATCATATAAACAGCTAATATAGACTCAGTCAGTTTGCACCTAAAATGTCACATAAATAGCCCAATAGTAGACAGGTATGCATACATGTGTGTAGTGGTCAGGGCTTATGGTTTAGGCTTTGGGTCAACTCATCTTCATTTGAAATAAATGTTAACTATTTTAGTGCTCATTAACTCTTCAATCGCTTCGCATCTCATCGCAGTCTTTATGCTATCACTGATACGCTATAGGAATTCATTTGATTTTAGTTTTTAATATCTGTTTTAATATATTTTTTTATGAGTTTTGGTTTAATATAATTTTTAATACAATTCTTGGTCATAATGTTTAATTTGTACGCGTCTTGGGATAGCTATGAGGCCGACGAAGACGTTGCCTGTGATGTCGATCGTTCAGTAAGTTTGAAATAAAATGTTAAATATATGTCAAAGTATCGAAAGCGCTATAAGAATGGGATTTATTGTGTTTATTAGATTTCTTTGGCATCCTTTCGTCGTAATGTCGACACCAATGGCTCTATTCGTCGCATACCTGAACCCATCATTTCGGACGCCATCCAAGAAATTGAAGAAATAAAAGATTGCGATTTGGAGGCTAACTGTGAGAAACAAGAGCCGGTCGTTGCGGCCGTTGAAATCGTCAACGCTTTCTATAGTTATGGCAAAAAGAAGAAAGTTGTGAACGCTTTGCAAGGCATCAGTTTGACAGTTCCCGAGGGCTCTATGTATGTCATTGTGTGCTTAAAATTATATTCTCTTTGATTTAATACATTTTGTAATTACAGTTACGGACTCCTGGGTCCGAGTGGTTGTGGAAAGACATCATTACTTCGTTGTATTGTCGGTCGTCTTCACCCAAAAGAAGGTGCGATTAGAGTATTTGGCAAAAAGCCGGGTGAGGCCGGCAGTCGAGTTCCCGGCGCTTCAATTGGTTATATGCCTCAAGAATTGGCTCTCTTTCCGGACTTTACTCTCGAGGAAACGCTCAACTATTTCGGTCGTCTCTATCACATGAAAGAGCGTATAATAGCCGAGAGAACCGATTTTCTGCTAAAGTTCTTGGATCTGCCGGAAAAGGGACGTCTTGTCGGGAATCTAAGCGGAGGTCAGAAACGGAGAGTATCTCTGGCCGCAGCACTTGTCCACAATCCGCCACTTCTTATACTCGACGGTATGTCTGTCTGACAATTATCAGTAAATTTTAAATAATTTTAAACCTGAATTTAATAGAGCCGACTGTTGGTGTCGACCCATTGCTAAGACAATGTATTTGGGATTATTTGGTAACTCTTAGCAAAGAAGAAAGTCTTACTGTAATCATAACGACCCACTATATAGAAGAGGCCAGAGCTGCCAATTTAGTGAGTCTCATGAGGTTTGGTCGCATCCTTACGGAGCAAACTCCAGAGTATTTGCTCAAACGATACGGCTTTCCGACTCTCGAAGAAGTGTTCCTAAAAGTTTGTTCGCTCGACGCTCAGGGGATAGATGTGAACAGTTTGCACAAAGAAGTGATTCGTTCCAACTCTTTGGATAATACGCCCGATATTTGCTTTGATGTCAATAAATCGGAGTCAAAAGATGTTGATATTAATGCTAGCATTAGTAGCGCCAGCAGTAGTAGTGGTGTCGGAGAGTCTGTCCATAATCTGAAGAATATTAAAGGATCGAATGATTCGATGGAAATGGTAGCGAATGCCTGCCAAAAGTCAAAGAAAACCAACAAAAGTGTTAATAAATTCAAACACTCGACCAATCCATTGATGGATAGCGCGGCCCGAACTTCGGCACTATTCTGGAAGAATATAACCCGATTGCGAAGAAATATGGCGGTCCTTCTCTTTCAATTCCTGTTGCCATCGATTGAAGTGATCCTCTTCTGCACGTGCATCGGTCAGCACCCCTTTGATATACCGGTCGCCGTCTATAACGAGGAACCTATGGGTCAATTCAGTCAACAGTTCTTAAACCATATCGACAACAATACTATTATTCAAATGCCATTTCCATCGTATGATACGGCCATCGAAGCGGTCAAGAATGGGGACGCCTGGGCAGCACTCGTTATCGGACGCAACTTTACTAACGCTTTGCAATTAAGGTATTATTCAACCATAATATTGAGTACGAATACAATATGAATGAATTGACTTCTTCTAGAGTTATGATGGCTGGAGAGGTGGACAACGCGACGCTCGACATGAGTTCCATTCATTTATATCCAGATATGACAAGTGAGTGATGAGTTGTATGCGGTCTTATGTATTAGTTATTAACGCATTATTTTTTAGATCAAATGATTTCTCTCAAGTTATACGAAACGATCACTTTGTCATTCATAAGCTTTGGAAAAGATATGCTCTCAACTCTGGGCCAGAGCTCATCTCTTGTTGAGTTACCGGTTGTGGTGTGTATTCATATATTAAAATTATATTTGTCAAAATGCTAATTGATTTGATCACAAATTGTCAGATGGAAAAACCAATCTATGGCGACAGAGCGCCCACTTTTACAGAATTCATGGCTCCCGGAGTGGTCTTAAGCATTGCATTCTTAGCGGCCGTCGCGTTGACTGCTTTGGCATTTGTTATGGAACGAAAAGAAGGACTTTTGGAGCGGAGTTTGGTCGCAGGTATTGTTGATTATATACTTTCCTATCATAACTACAATTAGACTAATGAGTGATCAATCATTAGGCGTTAGTTCCACGGAATTTATGCTCTCGCATGTGTTGACGCAACTGCTGGTGCTGTCAGTACAGGTGGCTTTGCTCTTAATCTTCACATTTTTGGTCTTTGAAATCCCATTTCGGGGTCAGTTTATATGGGTTATTGTCCTCACATTACTTCAAGGCTCGTGTGGAATGGCTTTCGGATTAATGATATCCGCAATCTGTGAAGAAGAGAACTCAGCAACGATGTTGGCTTTGGGCTCTTTCTATCCCAATCTACTCCTTGTAAATGACGTGAATTCATTATTTCGTACATTTTTATAACTATTTTACTCTTTGACAGAGCGGAACCGTTTGGCCGACACAATCGATGCCGACATTTATTAGATACTTTAGTTATATATTACCGCAAACTATTCCCATCGGTTTGTTATAACATATTATTTGATTTTATTATAACTAAAAATATTTGTCGTTTACAGAAGCGATGCGTTATATACTGTCCCGTGGATGGGACCTATCCTATGGCATTGTGGCCCTCGGTTTTGGTGTAACCATAATATGGATTATATTTTTCTTAACGGCCGCAGTTATCATCTTTAAGTATAGGAAGTGATAGCATTTTATATAAACTTTTATATATTTATATCCGTTGATATCATGTAAAATTTTTATCCATTACTTTAGTTTTATTCAATTTGTATTTTATACTCATTTTTATTTTATAATGGTTTTATTTTTTCAAATTCTGTGCAAAGTTGTCAAAACTCTAGAATCATTTGAATAAATGTCGAGTGTTTTTGCCATTATAGCAATTATTGTGTGACAATTGATTCATAACCCTAACAAAAGTGTTGGTGTGTTTTGTCAACCGTTTCAGTCATTGAGTTAATAAACATAAGTGTAATTTGTCTGAAACCGAGACTACAATTGAGTCTCTTTTCAATACATTGATTGCAAGTTAAGAAAAGTTTTGTGAATGAAATAAGCGATGCATTCATTCAATGAGAGCTCTGTTTATAACGAACGCTAACTTTTGGTTAACAACGCTATCGTCGACTCTCTTCACAACACAAGGCAATGGGTTTCCAATACAATGAACTCATAGCCAATGGAAAGTTTGCAACTCATCCAGAAGTAGGTGTAACTTAATTCACCACCTTTTCAGGTATAGTATTGCATACTATGGCTGATGAACAACACTCATGAAGGGCGTCGTCCACACACTCTCCCTCTCCTAAGCCCTAACATTATCTAATCGTGTCGTTTGGCACCACTTTTTCGGCCATTAATTGAACAAATGTGACCACAATTTTCATATTGAAAAAAGTTGACTCATATTTATCCGGAAAAAAGTTGTCCAAAACAAGGAGTTTGGCTATAAATAGGCGGTGATTACGGATTATTTGTCCCTCAAATGCCAACCGATTGACGAAATCCTGGGATAAAAATGTTACGAAACGCTGACATTTCGTACTCAAGTATAGCCCCGACAAGTGGTCGGAACTCTAATAGCATAATGTGTTGCTTTTGTAGCTGTGATTGTTCTCACGCTAAGTGTAAGTCACTCACAATCCCTGTCACACTTCCCTCTCGCCAAACACCCCCTCACTTTCAACCATCACTTTCACTCTCTATATTATTTGTTACTTATTCTTCCGATTCTTGTGTTTTCCCATACTTTTCTGTTATTTCTGTTTTGCCAAAAAGTTATATCGATGTTTTTGCAAGGCTTGAGCAAATACTTGTGGCGCAAAATACAATCAATTGTATTGTATTCGCATTAATACTGTTATAGAGTGTATGATATAATATTACAAAACAAATATACTGATGGTTGGATCAATTGATAGCGTGTTGCAGATCATGTTTCCTGCGGCTCCCATACGGCACAATCACATCGACTTTGTTGGCGGCTTTTGGGCTCATAATGAGTATAATATCAATACTTCACTCGACAAGTATTGCCGATCGACTCACTCACGATCTCATCCGAAGAAAATATTATTGGTTTGTATTTTCGCATATTTATGGGCTTTTGATTTGTGAACATATTTTTAAAAGTAATATTTAATGCATAGGTTAAGTGATTTGAAGGTGTGGTATGTGGTGCTAACTATCTTCGTATCGGTGATAATCGTGATCAACCTATTCATCGGGTTTGCGACCACTGGAACCGCTGGCACTAAGAAAGGAAAGCCGTGCCGGACGTGCGGCTGCACCCGAGCGTCGACCACTTCCTGTCTAATTAAGACAGTCTTTGTTGTCAATTATATTCTCTTCTATTTTCTGGTTTTGTTAGCAATAATTGTTTTGTTAACTCTATTCGTATGCTATGTATTGAGCGATCTCTGCAACGAAGGCATTGATCTAATAGTAGAGCCGTTGAATGTTAACAATCCCTTTCCCAATGACATCAGAGCCGGACAGTCGTCTCAATATTTGGATTTAAGGCAATTCTCTCCACTCCTCTCTTTGCGAGCAAATGAGACACAATTTCTATACTTTAAAGACAATCGGCTGAAGAAGTTGTGCGATGACTACGTGTCCGCACTTTACTTTCATATCATACTCTGTTCAATAGGAATGGTCTCTCTTTGCGCCGGTTTTCTAAACTTTTTGATTAATTTAAGTGTAAATTGGGTTAGAATTAGCGCTAAACAAAAATATGCAGAGATTTTGTATTTGAATGGCGCAGAGATGACGGCCTTCAATGAGGGGAGCAGTCGATACTAATCATCTTAATTGGGTTACATTTACACTCTTTTGGATCACATTTGTTTCAAACACATCTAATATAAAACACATTTAACTCGTGCTTTTAATTTATGATTTTTTAAATTGTATTATAAGTTTTTTTGCATTTGATTCACTAAAGTCTTAATGAATGCTCACTTAACTATTGAATCCATTTTTATACATAAATGCAATAATAATTGTATTTAACGAATAGTATTACCATATTTATTTAAATTTCCAAAGTTTATCCACAATAAGTATTTAATATAAAAAAGTTATAAAAGTATACATAATTTTTTTAATAAAAGTATTTTAAAATTAATGATAATATATAATATTTATATACACTTTTGATGACAATTTCAATAAAATGAACATTTGTTTAATTAATTCAATAAATTTATATTCAAAATGAGTTTTAAAAGAAAACAAACTAAAAGTCCTTCAAAGAATCCTTCGTAAGTGCTTTTGTTCGCAA